TGAGGACCCAACCGTTACGTTGATTCGTAGTGTTGAAGTCCCAAGAATGGCGTTCTTGCGCGATTCAGGATCGTCAAGACGCAACAGTCAGAGTGATCCGTGGCGTTGGAATCCAGAGAACGATGCTTTGGCATGTATCAGGGTCTTCAAACGGTTGTCTTCTAACTAAGCAGTTTCCTCAGTGGGAATGAACCCTTATAGGGGCCTATGAAGAGGGAGCTTGGAGGGAGGGTTTATTCCAACATCGTTGATGACTCTCGGGTTTACACTGGTCCTCCTCCTCCTCCTCCTCTCCGTCCTCCGCTTAGAGGCGCCCCGGCACACCCACAAGATCCCACCAGGGGCCGTCCTACTGGACGTATTCAGCTTAGCACGGCTGCTCGTATCGTTGGGGCTACGGCCTTCACGCTATGCCCTGATGGGCACGAGCGGTCTCCCCAGCGGGGCACGCCGGACTCCGGCGCTCGCCCCGTCTCCTCCTCCCCACAGAGGCGCAGCCCTCCCCCCATCCCCCAGCGCCCCTCGCCGCTGCACGGGGCGGAAGAAATGAGGAGGCAGATGCGGATGCGCCAAGGCACCCTCCAGGGAGAGGGGCGAAGCAGGTCGAGGAGGAGGAGGAGGAGGAGGAGGAGGAGGAGCATGAAGGCGAGGACGACGCGCCACGACTCTCCCCGAGGCGCTGCCGACAGCGCGTACGCCGTCGCCGCGGCCGCCCCCAGATGTGCACGCCCCGCCGGTCGCGGCCTGTGCCTTGTCGGGCTACGGCGTCTGCGAGCCGCCACGCGGGCTGTCTCCGTGGGGGCGGGGCCTGTCCTCGTTCGCGTGGGTCGTCATGGGGCCATCTTGGAGGCCTCTTGAGCGATCTTGGGGCGACCTTGGGGGCCTCCTGGGCCGTCCTGGGCCGTGGGAAGGCCGAAAAGAAGCAAATGTCACCACCCTTCAAAAACCAAAGGAAAATCAAAATTTTTTGGCTTATTCGGGAGGTCTCTCCTGGAGGACCTCTTGGAGGCCTCTTGGGCCGTATTGGAGGCCTCTTGGAGGCCTCTGGGGCCGTCTTGTGCCATCTTGGCTGGGTCTTGGAGTCCTGGAGGCTTCTTGGGCGGACTTGGAGGCATCTTGGACCCTCTTGGGCCATCGTCGAGGCCATCTTGGACCATCATGGGCGAAGTTGGAGGCCATCTTGGACCATCTCGGCCGTCAAGGAGGCTATCTGGGGGCCATCTTGAGCGAAAAAATAACCCAAACCAAACCCAAACCCAAAGAAAGACTTCGGGGAACGCATGGGGGAGCAAGAAGACGAGGAGGGGGAGGATGAGGAAATGATACGAGGAGGAGGAGGAGGAGGAGGAGGAGGAGGAGGAGGAGGAGGAGGCCTCTTGAGGCACTCTTGGGGCACTCTTAGGTCCTCCTTGCAGCTTCCTGGGAGCCTCTTGGAGGGTTTTGGGGGGCCTTTGGGGGCTTCTTGGGAGCCTCTTTGGCCGTCTTAGGGCGTTCCTGGCTTGTCTGACGCCGTCGGAAGCCGTCTTGGGGGCCTGTCTGGGTCCCCTCTTGGGGCATATCAGGGGTTCTTAGAGGCCATCTTGGGCGTCTTGGAGGCCTCTTGGGCCGTTTTGGGGCCCTCTTGGGGCCGTCTTGGGGGCCTTTTGGGCCGTCATGGGGCCATCTTGGAGGCCTCTTGGGTGTTGCAAACTTTCCCACTCAGAGCGAAGAGCGTCGATAGAATCAATCTCTCCGTACCGGGGCCGGCGGTAGATACACCCTACTAGCAAAGGACCCGAACTACAGTGCACAAGAATCCATACCGACTCAGCTGCAGAGGAAACAAGAAGACGGCTGCACGCCGAAATCAATGAATCCAAAACGAAAACGACCACGCCGCCAGACTGCAAACAACTGTCGCTACGAGCAAAAAGTATATATCCGTGCAGATTCGGATGCGGAGCAGACGCAGTCAGCCAAGTCTCTTTGAGACAAACGAGATGAGGAAGGGAAGAAAAAAGAGAGAGAGAGAGAGACGAGCAGGCAATTCAGCATAGTTGGTATTAAGAGAACGAATATTTACACAAAATATGGTGAGGTCTGGGACACGAAACAAGAACGAGACGGACTGGAAACAGTAAGCGAACTCGAAAATTTGCCCTGCAAATTGCCCGACCTAAGGCTGGTCGAAAATCCGCCCTGCAAATTACCCGACCTAAGGCTGGTCGAGAATCCGCCCTGCAAATTGTCCGGCCTAAGGCTGGTCGAAAATCCGCCCTGCAAATTACCCGACCTAAGGCTGGTCGAAAATCCGCCCTGCAAATTACTCGACCTAAGGCTGGTCGAGAATCCGCCCTGCAAATTGTCCGGCCTCAGGCTGGTCGAAAATCTGCCCTGAAAACGTCCGGCCTAAGGTCGAAAATCCTGGCATCAGACTTGACGAAAATGCCAGGTTCAGACCTGACCAAAAACACCGCTCGGCTAAACGCTGCTGAAATGAGGAATTCGAACGAGGACCGCGTCGTCTGAGACGAGGCCGAGGAGGCCGCACACAACTCACAAAGTGAGGGGCAGCAGAACGCAGAGGAGAAAGAGAAGGAGGAGAAGAATTGTGAGCCCAAAACTGTATGCGACCTCCTACGTCCTAAATAGACAAATCGCCAAACGGCGTCACAAAGGATCCTGTCAAATCTCCGACCTCCTGTTTAAGATGCCCACGAGCCATCCGGATTCTTCAGTGAGAAAGAGGAAGGCTCATGAACATGCGACAACAATTCATTAGAAATCTTGATCACTTCTTACTGCCGCGCCCTAATGTCCGAAGCTTTTTGCCGGGTACCTTAAAAAGCCTCCAGCACTGCAAAACTAAAAACCGCTACGACAGCAGGAAAATCCGTACCAACGGCAAGTCGCTTCGCCTGGACAGCGTCGAGACAGTGTGATTTATCGAAAGGTGCGACACAACAGAAGTTACTTGCGAAGAAGGAATATAAACATTCACAAACATAACAGCATTTCAAACAAGCCACAACAGTATTAGCCGTCGAATTGTCTATCCAAGACCAATCCTGCTGCACGCGGCGCCCGATCGATCGCCAATCTGCGTCGTTCAAGTGCGACCGCCAATACTCACTGTGCTCAAACTACAACGGCGGCATGCAAACTGAGCACAACGTTGCCCTATGATCCGCTACTGGCGTGAACACTTTTGAAATAATGATATGCGGGATGTCACATCAAAACAAATCGAGAAGATGAGGGCCATGTGTTGGTGCTCGTATACATTCCTCAAAACCTCGCTCTAACACCAATTATTCAAGAACGTTCCCTCTGGGGAAACATGGCTGCTAAAGGTATACTAATCTGTGTGGTGAACATTCATATCGCCAGTTTCCCTACATGATCGACAAGCGAGTTCCATTCGCCAGTGAGCGACTGAATCGAATTTAGTTCACCGTGACACAGACAACGATACTAACAAAACACTAATAGAAGTCCAGACTCTGTGTGCACTAAAATCAGACACGCTTAGAAGAACAAAGAAAACCAGAGGCTGGAGGAGGAGGAGGAAGAGGAGGAGGAGGAGGAGGAGGAGGACGAGGAGGAGGAGGAGGAATAATAATACGAATCATACTAATAATAATGATGATACTAGTAATACTAGTAAGAATACTAATAATGATAATAATACGAATGCGAACGCTAATAGTAATACTACTACTACTACTACTAATAATAATAATACTAATAATAATAAGAATAATACGAATAAGACGAATAATTCGAATAATAAGAAAAGGAAGAAACATACTAATAACAAGACGAACAATAATAATAACAATAATCAATAATAATACTAAGAATAATAATAAGAAGAGGAGGAGGAGGAAGAGGAGGAGGAGGAGGGAGATGGGGAGGGGGAGGGAGAGGAGAGGAGAGGAGAGGAGAGGAGAGAAGAGGGGAGGAGAAGAGAAGAGAGGGAGTGGGGGAGGAGGGACGAGAGGGGGGAAGGGGAAGAGGAGGGATGGGGGAGGAGGAGAGCAACATCGGACCGCTAGTCGTGTCCCAGGAGCGGGGGCGAGACATCGCACAAGCAGGGATACCGCGATTGACATCTGGGCGCCCGGGCGTTGCGCGAGTCATCAGAAGAGGGAAGCGAACGGCATATTGTCGGACGGAGGTATAAGATCGAGGTCGGTTCGAGGAGGGTACCCTAATGTTCTTCGTGTTTGTTGGACGTTCTGGCGCATCTTGGGGGAGGGCACCATTGGATGTTCTGTGTGTTTTGGCCTGCGGAGGGTCTTAGATTCTTGAAGGATGTTCTTCTGGCCTAGGTCCGACTGTATTGTCGGAGGTCCGCGCGGATTTCGTGGGTCGGCGCTGGACACCCCTCCCCCAACCCCTTCCCCCGATGTCCAGCGCAGACTTGACAAATTCGCGCGGGCCTCCTATGTTGACTGTTGCCTTCCCAGAGAGCCGAGGCTGGCGAGGGGCCCGAGCAGAACCGGGCGAGTTTTCCAGGACGTGGGGGCGACGTAGTGCACTGGCATGGGCGCCCTGGTCAGACATTCGATCGTCCGTGCAGTGCCGAGTGAGGTCGAGGCGGGCGACGGGTCCCGAGCTGCATCGCGCGGGTGTTCCGGGATGGGGTGATGCGGGTGCGAGGTACCACGCTGGCACGGGCATCGCGGCTGACGACTGATTGGTCGTCGATGCGTCGCCGAGCGATCGGACGTTGTCGAGACTTCCATCCATCCAGAGGCGGGGCACCTCTCCTCCTCCTCCTCCTCGTTGAGCGCTTTTTCTCCTCCTCCTCCTTATCCTCCTCCTCCTCCTCGTCGTCCTCCTCCTCTTCATCGCGTACCGCTAGCTATGTTCAACATGGCCAATATGGCTGATCCTCCACCTCTGCGAGCTGTGAGGGCGCTTCCTTCTCTTTCTCTTTGCGGGGTGTGGTCACGATGCTCGCTCCTCCACCAACCCCTCCCTTGCCCCCCCTCATGCTTCTTTCTCTTCATCTTCTTCCGTACGTAGCCTTTTTGGCTCAGACACGTAAATTTGCACCACCCGACCGAACAATGAAGTTGTTGTTTGTCGTTCTTCTTCTGACAGTCAACTTATCTGCAGGTGAGGAGGTGTCTCCAATAGGAAAGTCGATCGAGCTCATCAGCAGTCTACAAGCCAAGATCATTTCGGAGGGTGAGCAATCACAAAAAATCTACGAGGGTTTCTCAGAGTGGTGCGAAGAGACGAACAAGAACACAGCGTACGAGATCAAGACGTCGAAGACGGAAATCGCGGACCTAACCGCGACGATCTCGCAGGAGACGGCGCTTATAGAGTCGCTCACCACGAAAGTGGAGGAGCTCTCCAGCAAGATCAAGGTGGACGAGCAGGACCTCAAAGCGGCCACCGATATACGGGCTGCGGAGGCAGCCGACTTCGCGGCAGAGAAGCATGAGCTCGACTCCATCATCGACACCCTCCAGAGGGCCATCGGCATCTTGGAGAAGCACGCCGGCTCCGCGCTGCTGCAAGAGCGCGGCGCGGCAGCACTCACGAAGGCGCTCTCCCTGATGGTGCAGGCGGCGGGGTTCAGCTCCGCTGACGAGAGCCGCCTGACTGCCCTGGTGCAGGAGTCCGAGGACTCGTTCGATGACGATGCGGGTGCGCCTGACGCGGCCACCTACGAGTCCCACAGTGGCAACATCGTGGACACGCTGCGCCGCCTCCTCGAGAAGGCCGAGGTGCAGCTGCGGAACGCTCAGAACAGGGAGCAGAAGGCCCTGTTCGAGTTCCAGCAGCTGGCGCAGAGCATCGAGGACGCCATCCGCTACGCTAACAAGGAGCTCAGCGAGGCGAAGAAGGGGATCAACGCCGCCGGCGAGAAGAAGGCCACTGCCGAGGGGGACCTCGAGGTGACGAAGGCGGACCTGGCCGAGGACACCCGCGCGCTGGAGGACCTGCGCACGGACTGCATGACGAAGGCCGAGGACTTCGAGGCGGAGACGAAGAGCCGCGGGGAGGAGCTCGGCGCGCTGGCGCAGGCCAAGAAGATCATCTCCGAGACGACGGGCGGGGCGGGCGCGCAGGCTTACCCGAAGAAGGAAGAGCGGCGCCGGCACGAGCTCTCGGAGGTCCTCCGCGGATCTCTTGGATCGGCGCTGGGCCCCCTCACGGAGGCCCCCCGCGCCGCACCTGGCGCGCTCCGCGCGCCAGGGGGGGGGGGTCCAGCGCCGATACAGGAGATCCGCGCGAGCCTCCGCCAGCTTGTGCCACGGAAGCGCTTCCCTCTTCTGCTTACAGCGGGGGCCAGGAGTCGGGAGCGGAAGAAACACGCGAACGCAAGCAAATGTCGGCTTCCAAGAAGATATGGGGAAATCTGGAAGAGGTGGGGGGAAGACAAACATCAAGAGACTATTGGAAAATATGGGGAATCCTTTGATTGTGTGTTATGTGTGTACTTGTTTGTGTGTGTTCGTGGGCCCCTTCAAGGAGGAGTCCTTCGTCCAGGTCGGCAGCCGCTCCCGGCACTTCGAGGCCGTGCGCCTCGTTCGCGAGCTGGCGCGCAGGCAGCACGCGCCCTCGCTGGCGCAGCTGGCCAGCAGGATGGCCGCGGTCATGGACGGCGGCCTGGGCTCGGAGGAGGACGTCTTCGCGAAGGTCAAGGGGCTCAGCCCGAAGGACAGAGGCTGGCACGGCCATGGGCTCGCGCGGAGGGGTGCGGTGGACCTCCCGGGTCTGGACGCCGCCACCCACGCGCCGTCCCCTGGCTCGCTCCCCGCGCGCCAGGGCGGGGGGAGGGCCAGCGCCTGCCCACGAAACCAGGAGGAGGAGGAGGAGGAGGAGGAGGAGGAGGAGGAGGAGGAGGAGAGGAAGGGGGAGGGGAGGGGGAGGGGGAAGGGGGAGGGGGAGGAGGAGGGGGAGGAGAGAGGAGGAGGAGAGGGAGGGAGGAGGAGGAGGAGGAGGAGGAAGGAGGAGGAGGAGGAGCAGGAGAGGAGGAGGAGGAGGAGGAGAGGAGAGGGAGGGGGAGAGGGGGGGAGGGGGGGGGAGGGGGAAGGGAGGGGGGGAGGAGGAGGGAGGAGCGAGGGGGAGGAGGAGGAAGAGGAGGAGGAGGAGGAGGAGGAGGAGGAGGAGGAGGAGGAGCAGGAGGAGGAGAAGGAGGAGGAGGAGACCTCGGACAGCTTATGCTCATGCCGTCCTTTGTGCTTCCATCGTAGCGGGCATGATCGACCGCCTGGAGGCGGAGGCGCGGGCGGACGCGAAACACAAGGCCTACTGCGACAAGGAGCTGAGCTACGCGGACAAGAAGAAGGGCGACAGGGATGCGGAGATCGAGAAGCTCGCCACGTCCATCGACCAGATGACCTCGAAGTCGGCCCAGCTGCAGGAGGAGGTGGCGCTCCTGCAAAGGGAGCTCCAGGACATAGCCGCGAGCCAGGCCGAGATGGATAAGATTCGGCGAGAGGAGAGACACAAATTCGAAGTGGAGAAGGCGGATCTTGAACTCGGCATCTCTGGCGTGAAGGCGGCCCTAAAGGTCCTGCGCGACTACTACGCAAAGTCCGCAGACCACGACACCTCGTCGGGGGAAGCTTCAACCATCATTGGACTTCTGGAAGTCGTCGAGTCTGATTTCGAAAAGGGACTCTCCGAGGCGACGGGCGAGGAGGAGAATTCACAGTCCGAGCACGACACGCTGACCAAGGACAACGAACTCAGCACAACGAGCAAGGAGCAAGACGTCAGATATCCA